CCCCAAAACCCCAAAACCCCTTGAATCTATCAATTGTTAGATTGATTGATTTTATTAATTTCGAATTTCAGCAAATTTCTATCTAAATAAATATAGATTTAGTATTTAATATCCAAGGTTGATAAAAATGGAAAATTTAGTTTGCTTGAAAATATAAGAGACTTACTCAAAATATAGAACACTATAGAAATTAGGATCTGGAGGTTAAGGAGGTGTTTACCTCGCAGAAGATCTTAGAGATCCAGAGTAAAAATTTGTTGCTCTTAAGTAACAAGAATTAGATGAAATGGTAGGAATGATCAAATCTTCACTTCTTAAACAGCATTAATGTCTCTAATGCTAATTATGCACTCGCTGCAAACATTGCCAATAATGTGAATCTTGCACACATCATCCTTAATCAATACATCAGGCTTAGTAAAATAAAGAATCTGCAAATGAAGCAAAAGAAATGTTATCAAAAGAACTTCTTCGCTTTTTAAGAGAAATTTCATCAATTTAGCTAAAGCATCTCAATATTGTAGAAATATATGACTCATTTCTTTCAACTGACAACAAATTCATCATTATAAGTGAATTAGCTGAGATTGATCTTTAGAAATTCGTTGAATAACGAATCTAATTGAAAGATATGTTAACCAGCCAAGAAATCTCAATAATTTTTCTATAGCTTTTAAATGGTCTCGAATATATCCATGATCAAGGCTTCATTCATAGAGATATTTCCCCATAAAATATCCTTGTTTTCAAGGACCAAATCATCAAGATATGTGATTTCGGATTAGCATCTTACAGTGATATTACGAATGCAAAAGTTGGAAAATAAGATTATATAGCCCCTGAAGTCAACAATAGTCATTAAAATTATACAAAATAAATTGATATATGGTCTCTTGGTATTACACTATATTACCTTTGCACTGGATCTACATTATATGAAGGAAAAGCAGTAAATAGTCTTGCTAGAGATCAGAAATATATTGAATTACCTCAAGAGCATTAACAATTTTAAGCGATATTTGATAAAATGATATTGTTAGACCCCTATAAAAGACCAACAACAACCGAGCTTAAAGAAGATTTAATGAAACTGATAGATGAAGACAGTGAATTTTCCTAGAATTATCATACAGCACTTTTAGGAAACTAATTAAATTAATACAAATTAAAGATTTCAAAATTAGAGGAAGAATTTGAAAAACAACTAAAGAAAAATTTTAAACAGGGACTGTATAAATACAATTCATCTTGGCAGGAGCCGTGGCTAGGTATTTCATAAGAATTGGATAATTTCTAACTTTTAATAAGATCTCACATGAAGGAAGAAGAGAAGATAGACCCTCTTTCTCTAACATTAACAAGTTCAAAAGTCTAGCAATGGAATAATTTTGATCTTTCTAAACACGAATTTAATCCAAAAATCAATAAAAAGTATCAAGAAATAACTAAATCAGGGGAATTTAATAAAATATTAAAAGTAGGAGATAAATATCAAACAGGTCATTTAAACGGAAGAGATTGCAGAATATTAGACTTAAATCTATAACTTGTCAAAAAATTAGACTAAATTGTCGGATAATTGCATGAACAAAACGGCCATGTGTTGCTTTGTTATGAAAAATCTATTAGTAAATTAAAGGATCTAGAAAATTAACAACCCATAGTTTAAAAAGATGTTTATTAGAGTACAAAGCCTATTTATAAGATATTGAAAATGAACGATGACATTTTTATTACTGGACAGGTAAATGGATATATTGAATTATTTAGCTTCTCAAATCATCAATTTAAGCAGACATTCGAAATAAAGGATAAAAAAAGCATCTGGGAAATTTGTCTGATTGAAAATATCTAAGACTAATATACATTTGCATTTAGTGGTTAAAGATTTGGAATTCTTATAGTCAAAATAATAATGAAGTCCAAATATGATTTCGAATTCTAGGAGGATCCAATTAAATTAATAGATAACTTTTATTGTTATTCTATGATGATAGTAAAGTAGAATATCATTGGTGGTATATTTAGAAAAAATCTAATCTAAAGGTATTTAAAGATTTTAGATGTAAAGTATAAGGTTGAACTACAATCAATTGATTTAAGCAAAGGATCATTTATTTACCCAGTATTGAATTATGACTTTACCACATATCCATTTGCTTTTGTAAAAGATGAACACAGTGTTTCGCTGATTAATATGAGCAACTACTAAATCGTTAATGTCATTAAATCTAATTGCAGTAGATCGGATAATTAGCAACTGATTTAAGAGAGATCTTAAGATAATACATTCAGATTCATTGATATTTAACTGTTTGAAAAAGACTAGAAATATCAAAATGAAATAAGAGAAATAGAAATCACAATGCCTTGATTAAATTATTTATCCATCTATTTAGTTTGGAATTATATAAAAAAGGTTTTAAATTTTTAATATTTTATGTTTAATAATATCAAACAGTATTTTGCCATCAAGGGGTTTTGGGGTTTTGGGG